ATTTAGTGTATGCGTACAAACTTCAAAATATATTCACATACTTGCCATATTGTTTTCACCTTGATGACCACCTTAAGAAGAAATAGTAGGAATCAAGACAACAAATATAAAATTTAATGCACTCAAGGTACACAAAATATCTACCCTATGGATAAAACTACAGCTTGCCAAACCATGTCTTGAACAGCATCTTATTATTAACTAAGAATTGCTGGTAAGCAACCTGATCTTTCTTCTACTGAAAAATTTGTAACAATAATTGATATAAAAGCGTCTTCCCAACTCTACCTGCTTCCATCTGCTAATGTCATTACTTCACGTAGTAGTTGTATATTAAAAGTCACAACACTAGACTGAAAACATAAATCATAATTAGGCTGAGTATTAATTTGTGACTCATTTGACTGTGTGGAAAACTTGCACCAATGTGCATATTCAATATTAAAGTATGGTTCATGACAGAAGGTGTTCAAAACATCATTTTTCATTGGTAGCAAGCATGAGAGATGATTGAGATAATAAAATATTTTTTGCCACAGAAATAATTCTCATCGGCCTTTTATTTTTTTAAAAAAAGTTTAATGTATTTTTCTAGGTGTTTTCATTTCAGAAATTCTCTGCAACTGAAACATTTACATAAATTACAAGTATCATACTTTTTACATTAGGAATATTAGGTCTTTAGGTGAATGTCAACTTATGGATGATAAAGATAACAGTTCCTAATAGGAGACAGCTATAGAAAGTTACAGAAAGTGATCAACCAGCAGAATTAAATGTACTATGCTACAAAGGTGTGGATGGAGCAGTGGATAGATGAGATGACCGTTTTCCTAGAATCTAAAAAAATTCTGAAAAGTAGCCTTGTTTGCTCATTTTAGCTGTAAGATAGAGCCTATGTGCTTTTCTTATGTAGGAATTAAAAGCTATCTGTCACAACTACGAATATGTAAGGATGTAACTTAACACCACCGAGGGTTTTGTCTGATTCAGTGTAACTAAAAAATGGATAGCTAGGGAAGGGACAGATAACCAGCAAGTAAAGTAGAAAGAGACTTTTTCTTAAGCAGAATATAAGGAGTGTTGGGAACGAAGTAGCAAGATGGAAAAACACGCTTATCTTCAAAGTACTATAACAAGTTTCTTAGGATCCTTCATGATCAAAGATAACACTAAAAGAAACTTTGCACACTGAAGTGGAAGAACTGAACATCAGTGAGACTGATGATCTTGCAAGTGAAATACTTTGAACGCCTCTTGTCACTGAAATGTATTCCTGGTGATAATTTAAAACCTGTCCTTGGTCTTCTATATCTGCTTCATTTGACACACAACATTGCCAAAAATTAAATACTCATTACGTCATTTATGTATGGGAGAAGTGAAGACTTCAACTTGAAAGCTGTAATTTTCTTTTATACTAATATCATCTCCCTAAGAGTAGAACAAAATTAGAAGTTTGAAGGAATGACTCAGTCATTTGCTCTGGATATATTCTTTTAAGTTATCTGAAGTTATAGATCTAAAATTTTATACTGTAGATTTAAAAAAAGCCCCAAGAGTCAACATTAATGCAAACATAAAAATATTTCTCCATATTTGTAAAAGGTATTTTACACTAGGTAGTGTATTGCTTTTGTATCTGAAAAGAACATTGCATTTAACTTCATGGAAGTGCCAACGACAAACATACACAAAAATATAGTAAGATCTTAGAATCTGAACAGCTACTGAAAATGACAAGAAAAACTTGCAAGCCACACTCTGTCATCCTAAACTTTCGTCATGTGAGTATTCAGCAAATTCATCTAACCTTGTTGAGAAAGCAGTAAAACTTTAAAAACACCAAAACTATATTGTAGAAGATAAAAATATCTGTCACAATCACTATCAACTTTATAGTTGAATGACTGAAAAAGGGAGGACTGTTTGTGCAGTTTTCCCCTGAGTAAAACTTAGATTGCCTCTATATCTGAATCCATCTACTATAAATATGGTTTAAATGCTCTTTCAGCCACAGTGGATTTTGCTTGAAACTCATATGCAATTTAGAGAACAAGGAAGGTGTTCTACAGAGATTTATTAAAAGCTAACAAAAGCAAGTTTGTTTAGTTTTGGGGCTGTACCTAATGATAGACTGAGTAGTCCCAATGGAAATTTGTCTTGAGAAGTTCTGACCTCCCAAGAGGCTACAGTGAAAAATGTAACTACTTCTTTTATCAGGAAACTAAACTTTTGAGGACTGATTGAAATATACAGGTTCAAACTCAATAGTCATCATTTACTACTTTGTTAGAAACAGAGATTTTTCAGAAAACATGGAAGATAAAGTGTAAACAGTAAAGCTAATTTAAAATTAAGTATTATATTTTGTCTACATGATCTGTATGTGTATATAAACAACATCAGGTTTTCCAAAATAGAATTATGAAAAGGTAAAGACTTCTCCTAACAGATCAATCAGGAGTGTTAGCAATGCACTCTCCCATACCTTGTCTCCAATACCCCTATGCATTAGTAACCTGCTTCTTACATTCATTCAATAGAGGTGCTCCTGTCATTGCAGAAGCTTGATTTTTTTTCTGAGAAACACACACAACTTTCTGCTATTCAGCAAATTCAGTAAGAGAGATGTAAGGGTTTACGTACATTTAGGACAAAAAAATACAACAAGAAAATGGTACAACAAAATAAACTGGAATATGTAGCTGACAAAGAAATATAGTGCCACTAGCTCTACGGCTAGACCACCACTCCAAACAGTATGTATAATCAAAGAAAACTAAATTGTTTTTTTCTGCTGAAACTCTCTCTCCTTTGTTTCATTTCATATATACATGTTTTGGAGCCCTGAAACGAGTTCCTAAACCAGCACATAAGAATATTGAAAAGATACACACTTGCAGATTAAGGAAGAAAAAAAACCACCCTGGAATATCAACTGGATGCTGAAGTACAATTTATCTTTATTCTCGCTACTGTGTGGATCAAGAAGTCCAGTGCAAATTTAATTCATATTGCATTATGAGAAAGCCAGGATCCAGAAGGGAAACCACAGTAAGTGAAGACATTTAGACATATTGACAATGTTTGAGAACATGAATGAACCATATTTCTTGAAAAATTCAGATGATGTTTGAGAACTTGAGGGTACTGAAAAGGACTGAACAAAAGGTAATGAGTAGTTTGTTTGTTTTTTTTAAAGTAATAAGTAAAATGAACCGAGAGCTCTCTAAGTGGCAAAGAAGCTTATACTTTGTGCAAAATCCAACCTCTAGGTAATAGGAACAGATGAGATCACCCTTCAATTTTATTTTCCAGTTGGGCTTTCCTGGATCTTTCC